AGGATTTGGCAATAGGGTGGGAGGGTGGGGGGGAAGGGGAGTGCGGGAGGAGGGGAGCGAGAGGAAACTGGGATTGACATGTAAAACAAGCTATTTAAAATTAAAATAAAAAACCAGGAAAAAAAGAATTTAAGTGATAAAGCTAGACAATGACATCATTTGTGTATGGAAAGTTTTAGACAGAACAAAACGTGAAAGAGAATAGGAATAAGAAGAGTAGAGCAGAAAAGAAAAAGGAAGAGATTTTGGAAAATTAAAATGGAGATTGGAACCAAGAAGGCAGTATGGATACACGTGAATGGGGCCTGGGTAATTTTATTTCCTAAAAATGAAAACAATAATTTTCCACTTTTTTCTTCTCCTGTGTTCCTAAATGATCATGTTGTTTTATTTTTATTATGGATATTAAAAGTTTTAGAAAAAACATAAATTAATGAATGTTTGTAGAACAATGTAAAATAGAGACACATGCTGAAGACTACACGAAGAGTAGAATAAAAACAACAAAGTCCAAAAGTCCCTATGTAACTGGGACCCTTGTCTTCCGTACATTTACCGCATTCCCACTGATGGCCTTCATTATAAATGTTGTTTTCTGTGTGTGTGTGTGTGTGTGTGTGTGTGTGTGTGTGTGTGTATGTGTGTGTGTTAAATATATTTTAGTAAAATTGATATTTTCAGTCTTTTCACTAGATAATGTATTTTTAATAACTTTCTAAAACTAATGCCTGTATGAATATCTTAATATACTTTATAAAATGGTATAAAGTTTATCTATTGATCTGCAAAAATTCTCTTGTCATTATATTACTTTTAAATACAAAATTTAGACAAAAATGTCACTTGTGTTACAGTATCTGTAAGCCTTGGCGTATCATGTTTCATGTTTTGTTTCCCCCTTTCCCACTATATGAATGTATGCTATAAACATTATAAAATGACTCAAAAGCCTTATTAACATTAAACACCATCTTTTGTTTATATTTAGTGTTGATTCAATGCTATTCAAAGACAGTGATTTACAGAAAACAGTTTGCGGTGGATACTGTCGACCTGACCACGTCATCATCATAATAGAGGTATTATTTCTTCCCATCATTTTTAAACATTAAATACCCTGAGTTTTCTTACTATCATGTTTATAAATGTGTTTTGTTAACTATTTATTCAGGAAAAAAGATTTAACACATTTAAAGACTTGCATTTTTTCTTAGCACATGTAAAAGTAAACATGAGGACTTGTCTTTTCTTTCCTTTTTTGCTTTTTGGTCGTGAGGTTTTTTTGTCCTTTTTTATTAATCTTTTTACACATGTTACTCTCACTTCCCTCTCCTCCTTCCCCAGCCCCCCAGTCCCTGAATCCACCACCCCACTCCATCCCCTCTCCACTCCCCAGGGTGGGTAAGGGCTTCCATGAGGGATATTTAGAGTCTGTCATATCATCCCGAAAGGGGCTAGGTCCTCCCCAATGTGTCCAGGCTGAGAGAGCATCCCTCCAAGTGGAATGGGCCCCCAGAGTCTATTTGAATGCCAGGACTCAATACTGCTCTACTCTCGAAAGTCACATAGCTTGCGGAGACCTCTTCTCTCAAACCAAGGTTGAGTGGGGGGATATCTGAATCCATCCCATGGTGGCCTCTCATACATCAGTCTGGGGTCCAAGTGCTCCCTCTTGTTAAGGTCAGCTTCCTCTGTGGGTTTTCATCAGCCTGATCTTGATTCATTTGCTCATCACTCCTCTTTGCAATTAGGTTCCAGGAGTTCAGTTCAGTTTTTAGCAGAGGGTACAAGGATGGCATATAAGGTAGTCATCAATCTCTTTATCAAGGGAGGGTACTTAAAGTAGCTTTAATTCCAGTTGGTGTCATTCTTGTAGATCTGTGAATATCTCACTAGTGCCAAATCTCTCCTCCAACTTATAATGGCTCCCTCTATTATGGTTTCTCATCCTTCTCTCCTCTATTCTTACCCTGGTTCAAACTTCCTGCTCCCCTATGTCCTCCTCCCTCCTATTTTCCCCCTTCCTGTCTCCCATCTCCTTCTGCCCTTCCCACCCCCCCAATCCTATTAGGAGATCTCGTTCCATAACCCTTCTCCGGGTTACCATGCTTATCTCTCTTAGGGCCCTCCTTGCTTCCCAGACTCTCTGGCAGTGGGATAGCAGGCTGGTAATGTCCTGCTCCATGCCTAAAATCCATATAAGAGTGAATACATACCATGTTACCTGTACTCCACAAAATTTGAAAATTTAAAAAAATGGGCAGTTTTCTGGATAGATATCACTTGTCAAAATTAAACCAAGAAGACATAAGCAGTCTTAACAGACCTATTACCCCTAATGAAATAGAAGCAGTCATCAAAAGTCTCCTAAACGAAAGAAGTCTAGGACCAGATGATTCAGTGAAGAATTCTATCAGAAATTCGATGAACAGTTAATTCCAATACTCCTCAAAGTGTTCCACACAATAGAAGCAGGAGGTTTGCTGCCAAACTCTTTTATGAAGCTACAATTACCTTGGTACCCAAGCCTCACAAATGCACAACTAAGAAAGTAAACTGCATACCAATTTCCCTCATGAACATTGATGCAAAAATACTCAATAAAATACTACCAAATTGAATCCAAGGACACATCAGAAAAATCATCCACCAGGATCAAGTAGGCTTGTTTTTTCTTATCTAAGTATGTTAAATATTTTGTCCTGATTTATTTCATTTTGATTAAAGTTCAGCGACATTATCTCACCTGTTCCTTTTCCATTCTTAAGTCTTCCCCATATGCCCCTCTTACTTCTCAGATTCACATCACTTTTTCCTTATTATCATAACACACACACACACACACACACACACACACACACCTTATTCTTGGGAAATCAGTTTCAGTACTCTGGTCTTCCTACTGTGGGGAAGCAGAACAGGCCATCTTTTGACGAGTGTTCAGGAATCCCCAAGATCCTGGTCCTGGTGCTGTTGGATAGGTCTTCAAGTAGCACAGGTCGTATCATCATAAAACTCTTGGAACAGTGCATGCCCCACAGGGAAACATCCCAGAGCTCCACTCTTCAAATCTCCAGCAGCAGAGCTGTGTTCTCCATCTTGATTTTATTGTATATTTTTAAGTATACTGTGAAGCTACCTAGCTTAAATCATGTGAAATGACAGATAAAATTAAGGGTGTGGCAATTTACTCATATAATAGCTGGATTTTCTTTTGTTTCAAATTCTTTGTTCAATATGTGTTCTAAATTTGAAATATAAAAAGAAATGCACCTGTGTAGATTATGGCTCTGAACTCTTAGAGAGTTCACACATTTAGTAGGTAGCAATTAAGTAATTTACTGGAGAGATTTACGTGTTCTTATGCAGAAGTGACTGGTACTTTTGCAAATAGCTGTTGCAACTAAATTAAAAAGTATTTGTGTACAGATGACTTCATACTTTCTGGTCGTGTTTCTTTCCAATCGCCACAAATGTCATTTTACATTTAAAAAGGATAAATCCTTTTCCCAATTAAAAGTGTTTATATAAAATCTTCATTCTTTTGTGGTGATGTATTTTTCATTTCATATGAATTCTTATTGAAATAATGTTTTAAGTGACATTTTGAAACCCCATTAATACAGAATAGTTGCATATGGACATTTTGGGCATTTATTTAGAACAGTAGTTCAATAAATTTATGGTTGGGGTCACTGCAACATAAGGAACTGTACTAAAGTGTAGCAGCATTAGAAAGATTGAGAACCATTGATTTACAGAGTCGCTAAGTTTTAGTGACACTACAGTCTGTGTTTTACTGTAAATAGTACACAGATGTGAGCACAGAAGTAATATTCAGTCTCATATCTATTATTATAATATGTTAAGCATTTTCAATAATGTATTATTTATATAACTAATTATACTACTCATTAATTCATCATAATTAATTATGACTTAACTGTTTTAGTACTGACAGTACTTTGTGGTACACTAATATATGTCATCACAAAGAAAATCACTGGGGTGCCATAATGAAACTGTAACACATATGCATATTAAATAAAAGCTTTGTACTTCTGAAAGAATTTGTAAAGAACTTTAAAGTTTCTGAAGGTATTCCACTTATTGAAAAACCATAGGCTATAGAAACATTACAAATCCAGTACCCTTGAAATGCTATCAGCACACATATTCGTGCATGGCAAGATGGCAAAACAGTCTGGAGGCACAGATTTGAAGCAGGAGGGAAATGGCTCACTGCTACTGGTTCAGCTGTGTGGATTCAAAGAAGGCATTGTCCCTGCTTTTGTCATCTGTGCCCCTAAAGGGACTTCCTTGTTACCTATCTCAATCAGTATGTATCTGAAGCTTCTAAAAGCAAGTAGCTGTATGTATCTGCGGCAGAGTCACAGCAAGTCTTGGGAATCTGTAAGTTTATATGTACTTTGTGCATCTCCAAGATATAACTACAAAGTATAAATGGAATATATAATTAAATATAATGGTTTCTAGCTTAGATATAAGTAATGTCACATTAAACAAATTAATATTAACATCTAACTATATATTATTCTAAATATAATTTAAAATATAATTCTAGACAGCCAATATATTAACATAATTAATCATCTCATAATTATATGTTACACAGCCAGAAGAGATGCTTGAGTCATTTACACAGAACCAAGAAAAAACAGAGTCATTGTGGTGCCTAGATGACCTGAATGAGCACCAACAGGAACAGCCCAGGTCCAGAGAGCAGCCAGCTGTCCATCTAAATAAAGCTGAAAGTAAGTGCCTTGACTTTGGTCACTGAGACAGGAGATGTTTTAGTCTTAAAAGGGAAACTTTGAGCAGGGCGGTGGTGGCGCAAACCTTTAATCCCAGCACTCGGGAGGCAGAGGCAGGCAGATCTCTGTGAGTTCGAGACCGGGCTGGACCTACAGACTCCAAAACAATACAGAGAAACCCTGCCTCATGAAACCAAAAAAAAAAAAAAAAAAAAGGGAGAGAAACTTTGACGTACAGCCAGGTTTGTAAATCCCCAGTCTAATTTAAAGTCACCACTGAAAAATAGTTATGGTTTGTCCTCTGAGTTTCCATAAGCAATTAAAAAAATTAGCAAGGCACACATGAACATTAGAAAAAGAATTTATAGAATCAGAGCTGACATTTAAAAATTTCAATGATGCAAATGTAGATGGTGGTGAGTCTGAGGTAGTTTCTTCAAAATGAGAAAACTGAGGCTAAAGCTGTTGTTTCTAAGGTGTAAGGTCATAATTAAATGTTATTGTTAACTTTAACCTCAAAAACCCTCTTCTGTTTTCTCAGGCTGTTTAGGGTGCTGGCCTTCTAGAATTGCTTACAATATCAACCTTCTCTAGTAAATCTTAAATGTGGCTAAATTCACAACACTTGATGTATTTTAGGATTCTGTCTATTTCCATATGTATAATAAACTATATTACATATGTGTGTTGTGTTCTTTATTATAGCAAACTACTAGACATTTTAGGGAGATTTCATGTTTATGTACAGTAAGCAAGGAAACTTCCTGCAACATGACAGTAAAGCTCGGCAGCAGGCTTTTAATAGGATGAAGTGACGGAAAGTTTTGCTAATAGGATGGTTTTATTGTTACTATTAGAATCTGATGGTAAGCTTGGCCTAGATGTACACATCTGCTATCTCAACACTTAGAAGGCTGAGGCAGGAGCATCACAATGTTCAAGGCTAGCTTAGGGTATGCTAGTGAGACCCTGTCTCAAAAAACAAAGCCTCATTGTGAATTTAAATTGGAGGCAATTCCATTCCCCTACATTGTGTCTCATAGGTATTATTGATGGGAATTTGGATGAAAGAATTCTTTTGGAAAGAGAAATTCAGGAAAACGCCTGCACGATAGATCATCTAGAGCAGGAGTTGCTATGCATGAGCGGGAGAGTTCCAAAACTCGAAGAAGAGCAACAGCAAATACAGGAGGAGCGAGCATTGCTGTCCAGGCAGAAGGAGGCCATGGGAGCAGGGGCTGGCCCAGTGGAGCAGCGTATGTACTGAGACTTTGTGTCTTATAGTTCCTCTCCTGTCTTTACTCTTCAGATGCTCATGTGACAAACTGTCCTCTCCAGTGCTGTTATTTGTATGTTTTACAGACAAACTTGAAAAATCATAAGAAAATATACTCGAAAGGCAAATGAGTTATTAGTCATTTTTATGTAATCATATTTTCTATTTTGCCTTTTAAGGCTATTAACCGTTAACAGGACAATAGAATTATTCATTTATTCTCAATCATCTGTATCAAAAAGAAAAAAGCTACATTTATTGAGGGTGCATGCTTAGGAAATGGGTAAGGAGAGATGTTTTATTGGGAGAGAGGTCATGAGTGTGTTGTGAACCCTCATCTGCTGCTGGTCACGGAGAGGTGTGGGCAGTGTGGGCTTGCAAGCCAGAGAGAGCAGAAGACATCTGACATCTCATTTAGAAGCATTCACAGAACATTTAACTTCATAATGGCTGATTTTTACATCTTGATTTTATAGCTTGTTGAGTGGGAAATATGTGTCTTTGTGATTATGGACTTTAAATTCTCCTTATCAAACCTTTGATTTTCAATGCACAGTTGGGATCTATAAATTTGGAGTTTCTCGAATTTGATAACCTTAGAAATAAAATATCCAGTTTCTCCTGTGGGGGTGCTCTGAGTAGTTTGGCAGAGATTTAGGGCTGGAATTTTTAAGGTTTAAAGGTCTCATGTCATACATACAACATATGCAAGAGATGTGGAACTGTGTGTAGCAGTGACAACCAATGACATCAGCATTTTAATGTGTGCAGATGTGAATTATTGTATTTCAGGGAGATGGAGACATGAGTATAGTTTTGTTTCCTCTCCTAGGGCCAGCAGATGTTGAGGTCGATGCAGCTCCTGGAGCAGGTGTGTGGACAGTTGCATGCACTGTTGTTGGGTGGGAGACTCACAGCTCAAAATTTGGGTGACCCTAGATTTTCAACTAACTTTTCTAATTTATAGATGCCTGTTGTGTTCCTTTCATTTTCTTTTAACAGAACACAGCATGTTTTACAATAAAAATATGTTGTGATTTGCTACTAACACCTGAGGTTCATACATAGTTACCATAATCTTATTTCATCTGTTTTGCACAGAGCACAAACTCATTGTGATTTTTTCAAAGAAAAAAATTGAGTATCTTTAAGAAACAAAGTATTTTTTCTTTTCAAAAATTTATTATTATCATTTTATTTCTTTTTTCCTTCTAAAAGAATCTTATTCAGATACCAATCCCAGCTCCTCTACCACCCATCCTCCCTCTCCTACCACCATCTCCCATCTCCACCCCACCCCATCTACTGCTCAGACAGGGTGAGGCCTCCCATGGGGAATCCTCCAAGTCTATCACATCATTTGGGGCAGGGCCAAGGCCCTCTCCCCTGCATATCAGTCAAGCAGGGTATCCATCCATAGGAAATGGGCTCAAAAAAGCCAGTTCATGCACCTGGGATAATTACTGATTTCACTACCAGCAGTTCCATAGTCTCTCCAGACCTCCCAAATTTCACCCACATTCAGGGAGCCTGGTTCAGTCTTATACAGGTTCCCCAGCTGTCAGTCTGGCCTCATCTCCTAGTTGCTTGAAAGCTGTTTCTGTGGGTTTCCCCAATATGGTCTTGACTCCTTTGCTCATATTATCACTCCTCCCTCTCTACTGCTGATCTCCAAGTGTTAGAAACCCTACTTAGCTGAGGATCTTTGTATGTGCTTCCATCAGTTACTGGATGAAGGCACTATAATGTCAGTTAAGGTAGTCATCAATCTGATTACAGGGGAAGGGCAGTTAAGGAAGCCTCTCCACTGTTGCTTAGATTCTTCATTGTGGTCATCCTTGTGGATTCCTGGGAAAGTCCCTAGTGCTAGGTTTCTCGACACCTGATAGTAGCTCCTGCTGTCAATTTCTCTTGCCTTGCTCTCCCTCTCTGTCCTTCCCCCACTGGAGGGAAGGCTTATCTGTTAAAGGCTAGGCTCACATCCAAAAAGAAGCAAACTGTTTTTCTTTTTTGAATATATTAAGTCTATGGTCTCTGATTTTTTCATAGTTTTCCTTGCAAAACAGAGAAGTTGGTAAGCTCATTGTATCAAATTGATCAAATTATTTACTAAGAGGCATTTTTGGCTGCTTTGCTTTGATATTAACATATAATAATGGCATTTTCTGTAGATCCCAGATCTGAAAACAGTGTTGACACATTAGTCAGTGTAAAAATTCTACATAGGTTCTTTTCTTTTTATATTTGCTGTCTATACTTTATCACCTACATTAACAATAAATACAATCACAAAGTCCTTTCTATACCCCAGCCTTTAATCTTTACACTCATTAGTTCATTTCATCCCCAATTGCTCACATAACAAAACTGAAGACCATCTTATCAAATGTCACACATGAGAAAAGTAGTAGATGTAGGAAATGAATCTGCTCTCATGCACTAACCACATGGATCCCCATATGTGCTTGTGTTCCCTTGTTGCACAAACTTGTAACCATGAAGAGGGACCTAATGTGATAAAGTACAAGACTAATCAGAAACCCTGACTGTCATCTCCTTCCTCTTTCTGTTCCCTTTTCTCAGTCAACATTTTAAGAGTATCTGCTTACTGTATTCACTGTGTATGCACATACAGGTGAGTGTTTGATTTGGAATGTACTTAGTATTGCCTATGGTCAAAAATGTGGTGATTGCTTTATGTTTTAATTCAACTGAAGTTTGTTCTTTTCCTAACCATAAAAATGTGTATTCTGTATTTACTACATTGTTCTCACAAACATACTTTTTGTAACAGAAACTCTGAACAAAGGACACATGGACCAGGAGCAACTGCACACTGTACCTATGGAAAGTGTTGGCATGGCTGCCGATGAGCTCCAGGCTGATGCACTGCAGCCAGAAGATGTCTCTGCCCAGGACTCTTCTGAGCTTCTAAAGACCCTGACTCCTGTCGGTGGCCTTAAACAAAACTGCAAAGGTTACCGAAGTCTGGAAGCACAGTTACTAACCCTGGAGCAAGGAAAGTCAAAACCAGAACTTCTTCAAAAGAAGATCAATATTCTTCAAAATTTACTAGTAGAGAAAATAGCTGAAGCCACCGTTAATCAAGCACAAATGGAGGCCTTTCAGCAGTACGGGAAGTACTTCCAAGAGAAGAGAACATCAGAACCAGAAATGAGAGATAGGCTCAATGAAAATCCTCCGAAAGGAGACAACACAGGAATAGGCATCTTCACATTAACTTTGAGACTAGCACAGTTAGAGAACCAAGTAGCTGAAATGCGTTCTAGTTTCATTAAAGAGAAACAACAATGCGAAATTACAGAGAAAAGGGTTTCTGATATAGAAAAAGTACTGAAGCTACAGATGCCTCTAGGCGAGGACACTACAAAAAGGCAAGAGATTAAAGAAAACGAAAGAAGCCTTCAAGATTTGGATATATCTGAGGTTAGTTTTCATTCAAGATTTGAATATCTCTGAGGTTAGTTTTCAGTGCTTTTTTTCACTTAAATATTCTAGGTAACTTTTTATCTTTGTTCATTAATTTGACTGATACTTTACTAATAAGTCTGGTATTTGGTTCATATCAAACAACTTATATGTAGTGAGACTTCAGGAGAATACACTGTTCCTAAAGGAGAGGCTTCAGTTCATTTGAATCAGAAATTGTGGTTCATGAATTTTGTGGCACTTGGGCTCAGAAAGCTCCACCCTGAGACAATGGGGTTACTTCCAGACAGAATTCCCAATAAGGTGCAGGGGTGCCTTGCATGGTTATGGCAAAGACTTTGGGGGTGATCTATTGGCTACCTGAAGCCCAGCTGCTCACAATTGGCCCCATGAGGTTTAGCTGTTAAATTCCTCCCATGTTAGGCTTTTCATTTGCTGACAGACTATATTAGATGCTGTTCCCAACACTAGAACAAAAGCTATAGACACAGGTCAAATTATGTTTAACACTGTGTGTAGTTTTATTACTATTATAGAAGCAAGTGCAAACTATGTTCTGTGGTCTTCAAATATGATTATCAGTTCTAGTATTAAAGTTACTCACTGAAACAAAAGAAATATAAAAATACTACATGGCAGCTGAATTCTCTAGGACTTGTGTGGGATGTACTGCCTTAGATTCTTTCTAGCACATATCCTTTGTTACCATCTCTTTTAAGAAGTGAAAGTTTTCACAGTAATATTCTACTAAGTTAATGTGGGAATGTCATTAGCTCTTGGAAATCATATACCTAATGAGATTTCTTTGTTTTGAGGAGGAAAAATGTGTTGGAGATCTTATTAGGTAGAGGTCTGCAACCATAGTTACTTCTAACCACACAAAAGACAACTCAAGGAATTTTAGTTTCTCAGTATTTACAATCTAAAGTAATAGAAATGTGGTATTTATATTAATGAATTTATATTTCAAATGGCAATATTTTCACATATGGGACTTCTCCTACCAGCACTTGTAACTATTTTACTGTGGATACTAAATATTAAATTAGTAATAAGACTTTCCACCTATAACATCTAAGAAATAGTTTAGTCAATTCTGGCACTATTTGAGAAACATGACATAAATTTGAAATTTTGAATGGCAATAAAATATGTTAACACACACATACATATGACATGATTTACCTTCATCCTCAAAAAATTGATTTTATTATCTCCATAGAAAGTGATGGTTCTGAAAGGCATCCTTGCTGGTTTTAACAAGCGCTGACCTCTTGACCTCTGACTGGAGGCAGTCATCCTTAGCAAAAGTACATTATAGTCTAGGAGAGTTTTGGGCAATCATGTTTCTCATGGTTTCTGAATGGTCTTCTCCTTCCAACTCTCACTCAGACAAGAGGTGATCTAATTCATGCCAGTGGAGACCGTGGATTTTTGGATGATCTTGAAGCTCATGGAGCCGGATCTGTGTCTCACAAAGAACAAGACCTTATAAAGAACAAGCAGACAGCCATGAAGAGCTTTTGGTAAGATGAGCAACACAGCCCCTAATGCATCCAGTTCTACCTCTCTTCATTTCCTCTCAGTGCATTCCCTAGATGTGTACCTTAAACATCAGTGGCAGGGAAAATCTTTTTGGATTTAAAGAAAACTTGCATTGCTATATTTCTGTATCAGTGCCTGTTTGTTTGGTTGTCCTTGGAATACTGGCTAAGGGGATGCATTTAGTCTATATGCTGTGATGGAGGAGAAAGGTGTGTGTTAAACAGAACCAAAGATGCCATGAAAACAAAAAGTGATAATATACGTGCACTTCTCCCTGTTCTGACCAGTGTGGACAAAGTGTGTGGAGACTGTGAGGACTGTGGGTGATTTTCCTGTTTCCATGCAAGTGAGACTTGAAGCATGGACTGTCCTCTTTGTGTTCATCCTTCGATTGTTTGTTTTGTGGGCTTTGCTTTGTATATTTGATTGAAGAGAACAGGACGAATTATTCTGTACTCTGTAGGTGTTTCAAGGTTGCTAAATACGTACTGGTACCACTTTTCATTTTCGTGAAAAGGACATTTGGTGAAAATTTATGTAAGAACCCCATGTTAGATAGCATAGTAATGTTCATCACACTTGCCAAGATAATTGTGCTGTGTAGAATGCTTTGGCCCAGAGAGATATCTCAGCAGGTAAGGACATTGACTGCCCAGCCCAGCAACCTCAGTCTGACCCTGAAACCCACATGGTGGGAGGAGAAAACCAATCCCCACAGATTGTCCTCTGACTCGCAGATGCTCACTGTGGAGCAGAAGCATGTACACAGACACAACCGATGAGTTAGTAAATAAATAATCAAAAGAAGATTGTTCTGCTTTCTAGGAAATTCACAGCAATATTTAGAAATTAAGGCCCATCTGTCTGTAATGAGCCCACCCAATTTTTTTGGACAAAATGTTTTGAGAAAATTCAATAACAAAATAGATACAGGGGCCAGGGATTGGGGAGGGGAGAGTGGTTCATGCCATTAATCTCCGTACTTAGGGTGAAGAGGCAAGTGCATCTCTGTGAGTTTAAGGCCAGCCTGCTCTACAAGATCTAGTTCCAAGACAGTTAGGTCTATACAGAGAAACCCTGTCTCAAAAAAAATTACCATGTGCATTCTTTTCTTTCTCATTCTGAGCATCCTGGTTGTTAATTCCATTATATCTACACCTCTCTTCACTTAATTTTCATTTTTCTTTGTTACAGGGTAGTGAATATGGAAAGTCTGTGGAATGTCTCCACAAACCTGACAGAAGGACTTCGTAAGCGGAAAATCACACATTAAATACACATATTAGTAGAAGGAAAATGACTGGGAAGAGAGAACAAGACACTTCAAGCCACAGTGTTTGCAAGAGCACTAGCATGGATTTACAGCCAGCTGGAAGAATTCAGTTTGTTGCTCCGTAAAAATGTTTAATTCAGGCAAATTATCTCATTGCACACAGGAGATAATTGATAGTATTACTATCAGTGTTAATAGTTGTCAAATTATTTTTAAATATCTATGTTTTATTTTAAATAAAGAAATAGTACGTTGTTATGGTTCAGCTCTTTGGGTATTCATTGAAAAGTTTTTTGTTTTTGTTTTTTTAGAAGAATCTTTTGATCCTCTAAAGTTGTCTACATAAAGTAAAAGGGAATTCACAATAAAAAATAGCTGTTTATTTTAAATTCTAATGTTTGTATGTATAGGATATTGGTCCAAGAGAGCTCTAGCATTAAACCAATAGGAACCTTTCAGTCAAGACTCCAAATATCCACTACACGGATAACAGAAGGTATTTAATACACCCCAAATAACATCTCTACTGAAACCCAAATCTACAATTGCAGAAGCTGAGTAATTATAAAATGCACAGGGAAATAGATCCAGAGCAACATAAACCATGGACAACAGTGAAGAATTTAATTTGATTTCAAATTTGATCACTTGACTAAGGTCCAGGAAGTAGCACCTTGGCTAATAGATAAGGATGAAGGAACAGATCACAGGATAGACCCCCGAGCCCAGAAATTATCTGATGCCTCTCTGGTTCTCAAAAGGCCCTGAGAGCAAGACAAGAAAATGCTGCCATAAGACGACACTAAAATGTGGGTGTTAGGAGACTAAGAATCACCAGGTTCAGCCCTTTCTCACATCAAAACAACTCAAGTCAATCCTAGATCATCAATACTAAAGTCATTATGGTTTAGTAAAGAAATTACATTCCCGACATGAGGCTGGGTAAAGACAATGGCCATGATGATGTTTTCAGTTGAGCATTTTGTGCTTTTCATCCCAGCCCCAGGAAGAAGAGGCAGGCCATTCTCCATGAATTAGAAGTCAATCAGACCTGCAGATTCAGGTCCAGGCCATGGAAGGATACATACTAACACACTGTCTCAAAAAAATGGAAAAGAAAAATTTTCGGATATTTTTGTAGTCAACATTTTTTTCTAAAGAAAAATCAAAATTGAACATGGCTTATCACCATGCTTGAAAACCACTTAAGTATTTATTTGTGCTTAATTGTCAACTCTCTAGGTGATAAATCACATATATTATCTTAAAGTGATATATAAGTGGGCCAATACTGAACTAGAAGTATACATACAAACCCAGCTCAAGGCAGAGTAGAATTTCAAAATCCTTTCCTAATATTACATACATAATTCATACCTACATGTTTTACAAAATACCGTATTATGTTTATTGCCAACAAAGAATTAAGCCTCTAATGTTTAAAATTTTCAATTGTTAAATTAAAATGAATTACACAATTACAATTATATTTACATGTGACTACCTGTAAGTATGCAACAATTTTCTTGCATTTACAATAATGACAATTTTTACTTTTATAATTTAAAATATTCATCTCTGAAACTGGGCCTTAGGCAGGGAAATCCAGCTAAGACTTACCTGAGGGGTCCTGGACATTCTCATCATGATCAGTATAGGAGGTCTCAGTCTTAATGTTTCTTTTATGCATTGATTAAGTAAATTCAGATCCTTCAGCTATCAAGGACCATTTCTGATTCCTGCACACACAAATCATTCACCATACCTCCACAGCATGAGGAAATAATTTCAATATCTTATTAAGTGTGAGAATAAAAGGGCAGAGTAAATGGTTCATGATGGCTGGGATGGTCATTCGTGTTTTTAACACTCACTCAGTAGGAAAAGTAGGGGGGGAAGATATTAGGAAGGGGGACAATTGTATTGGTTAGTGACCAATAAAATTCACTCTTTGAAAAACAGATTGTCAAAAATAAGTGTTTAATTTTTTCAGAGAAATTAGACAATATATGATATTTCAGACAAGTTAGACATATAACAATCTACCAAAAGTCCCTTCATGAAGGCATGTGATAATGAGTTCACTGGACCCAAGATAAATGATAAATAGGTGTTTTATTGGGGAGCAGCCTACTCAGATAATAAAAAGAACCACTGAGGGAGGCCTTTCTCTGTCCTTTTGAGCAAATCCCTGACACAAAAGACAGCGAGCACCAGAGAGAGCCCCTGCCTCATGCTTCCATCTTTCTGATTCCATCCACAAACAGAGAATAATTAACCTACTTAAGACTCTTGTTACACTCACAATTTCTTCCCACAGGTCCCCTTGATTGTCATCCTCCCAATTCAGCAGGAAGTAAATTTGAGAATTCCACGTACCTTATCCCTACTATTGATATTAGAGGATAGTTTACACCTGTTAGTGTTACTTTTCAATTATTTTAGGGTTGGGATTGGAAGGAGGTGTTCAGACTTGGGCATCCCTTTCAGATAAGTTTTAATTTAGGTGGAATGGATATGTTTAGCTTAGGATATAAGTATATTATAACATACTCATCACCCTTTGTGTATATATGTTGTATATGTTTGAGTTCGTGTCAAATTTAAATCTTCTATTTAGACTAAAAGGGGAATTGTAGGAGTTAACTCCACAAAGCTATCTGCCCATGAGGGCAGGGACAAGTAAATTAGCACAGGTCGAGTTAAAAGAAAGCAAAAGGAAAAAAGACCTCCTCTTTTAGAAGCTGGCCACACTTCTGACTCCCAGCTTGTGTGACTCTCTCTCTCTGGTAAATAAATATATTGTATTCCCTATAGCATTGGCTATCATCATTAAACACAGTCTGAATGAATGCTGGAAGTAGAAGAACTGAGAAAATTGTCAGGTACTACAGATGCAAGCGTCAACAAATCCCTAACAAAAATATCCAGGAAATATGGGACACCATGAAAAGACAAAACCTAAGAATAGAAGGTGAAGAAACCCAACTGAAAGGGGCAGAAAATCAAAATCATAAAAGAACACCTTCCCAACCTAAAGAAAGACATGCCAGTGAAAGAGCAAGAAGCTTACAGAATACCAAATAGAGTGGACCAAAAAAAATCCCCTAAACACACAACAATCAAGACTCAAAACATACAGAATAAACAAAGAATATTAAGAGCAGTTAGCAAAAAGGCCATGTAATATATAAAGACAAACCTATCAGAATTACAACTGAGGTCTCCATGAAAACTCTGGAAGCCAGAAGGTCCTGGATAGATAGTCTACCAACATTAAGGGACCATGGATGCCAGCCTAGACTACTATACCCAGAAAAGTTTTCAATCAATATAGATGGAGAAAACAAGATATTCCATGAGAAAACCAGATTTAAACAGTACATATCCACTAACCCAGTCCTACAGAAAATTCTGGAAGGAAACCTCCAACCCAAGGAAGATAACTACAACCAGAAAAACATAGGTAATAGATAATCCCACTTTACCAACAGGCAAAAGTTAAAGTAGTGGAAATCCACATACAATTCCACCAACAAGCATGCCAAAACAAATGAGAATGAGCTATCAATGATCATTAATTTCCCTCAATATTAATGGTCTTAACTTGCCCAATAAAAAGGCACAGGCTAACAGAATGGATTCAAAGTCAGAATCCATCCTTCTGCTGCATACAAAAACATACCTCAACTTCAGAGACAGACATTAAGGGTTGGGAAAAGATTTTCCAATCAAATGGATCCAAGAAAACAAGTGGGGGTAGAAATACTAATATCTAAAAAATTAGACTTTAAACTAAAATCAATCAAAAGAGATGAAGGAGGCCACTTCATACTCATCAAAGGAGAAATCCACCAAGATAAAGTCTCAATTCTGAACATCTATGCCCCAAATACAAAGCCATCCACATTTGTAAAAGAAACATTACTAAAACTCAAAGCACATATAAAACCTCACACAGTTATAGTGGGAGACTTCAACACCCTACTCTCACAACAAGACAGGACCCATAGACAGGAACTTAACAAGGATATGAAGGATCTAAAAGAAGTTATAACCCAATTGGTTTTAACAGACATCTATAGAATACTCCATGCAAACACAAACGAATTTACCTTCTTCTCAGTGTCACGTGGAACCTTCTCAATAAACGAACACATATTTGGCAACATAGCCAACCTCGTCAGATACAAAAAAATTGGAATTACTCCTTGTATCTTATCAGACCACCATGCGTTAAAATTAATTTCAACATTAACACAAATGGCAGAAACCCTACAAACGAATGAAAATTGAATAATGCACAATTGCACCACTCCTGGGTCAAAGAAGAAATAAAATAGAAATTAAAGACTTCATTTGTTTCAATGAGAATGAAGACACAACCTATACAAACTTATGGGACATGTAGAAAGCAGTACTAAGAGGAAAGTTCATAGCACTAAATGCCGACATGAAGAAATTGGAGAATAGTCATACTAGAGAATTAGCAGCACAATTGAAAGCTCTAGAACTAAAGGAAGCAAACTCACCCCAGAGGAACAGACAGCAGGAAATAATTAAATTAAGGGCTGAAATCAATAAAGTAGAACCCAGGGAAACGATACACAGTATCAATGTAACAAAGAGTTGGTTCTTTGAGAAAATCAGCAAGATAGACAAACCTTTATCCAAACATACCAAATGGCAGAGTATGAACATGCAAATTAACAAAACTCAAGGCAATTCCTCTAAAATCTGGAACAAGGCAAGGCTGTCCACTCTCTCCACATCTCTTCCATATTGTACTCAAAGTTCTAGTTAGAGCAATAAGACAACAAAAGGAAATCATGGGGATACAAATTGGAAAGGAAAAGGTCAAACTTTCACTATTTGCAAATAACTCTACCAGGGAACACTTACAGCTGATAAATACCTTCAGCAAAGAGGCAGGATACAAGGCCAGTCAATAGCCCTACTATATACAGAAGATAAAAAGGCTGAGAAAGAAATCAGAGAAATATCACAATTCACAATTGCTTCAATCAACATAAAATACCTTGGGGTAATGCTAACTAAGCAAGTGAAAGACCTGTATCACAAGAACTTTGAGTCTTTAAAGAAAGAAATTAAAGAAGACACCAGAAAATGGAAATATCTTCCATGCTCTTGGATAGTTGGGAGCAATGTAGTAAACATGGCAATCCTGCCAAGAGCAATCTACAGACTCAATGCAATCCCTATCAAAATCCCAGCACAATTCATCACAGACATT